CCCACCCCCCACCCCCACCCAAAATAATCACAATATCAACCTAACAGTTAACCGCGTACCCAGCTTAAAAAAAACAAACAAAATATAGTTGAGTAATTCACATTAAACCCCCCCCCCTCCCAGAGCCCATCAATTATTACTCTAAATTCACAATCTACAATCAGCAACGTAGCTTAGAGAAGTGCTAGAGTGCTGAACATTTCTATTTAGTTGAGTAATTGTTAATCACACTGGGGGTTTCCAGATTTCGTCTTTTCACCAATTACTTTGAAGATATTTTAGGCCGGTTATAGAGCCTGAATTAAATGCGAGCTGAGGTCATTTGGCTCCTTTCTTAAATGATAGATTAAGTGATGAGAAATTGTTTATGTTTTCGTGGCCTAGCCTTTTTAAGAAAAATTCATGTTTTCTAACCACTTTTTTTAGGAATGAGCCAAGTCTCCCCTCAAATGTAATTCCCGCCCAACAGCTATTGTCGAACAGCAAAGAAACTTGTACTGTGATTAAAATTCCACGGACTTCCTGGTCGAATGAGAATCACTTCAACGGTGATGGCCCACATCCCATCATTTACTACAAGAACGAGCCGACTCAAATACTGCAGCGACCTACTCCAATCCTCCGAGGAGCACAGAAGTCCAGACCGAAGGCCATTGGGGAGGGTGATAAAACCTCAAAAAAGGCCACCACTCTAGGTAAATCAGAACCGATTAAGAGAAACGAAGTTTTAAAAGAACTCCCTAATTCCATTCAACGACTGACGCCAAAATTTGCATCGTTTTCAACCCACCTTCCCCGAGTTAAATCCACCAAGGAGTGTGTTGAAAAGGAATCAGTTATTTAGTCATCCAAGTAGCAAATCTATTGTATACTGTACCGTAATAATAAAGATCGTGATTTCATTTATCTTTCTTCTAAACATGCCTAGACGATGAACTGTACAATAAACTACTGAGATAACGAAATGGACTCCGTCATTACTATCAAACGAAACAACGTGATAAACATAAAACGTGTCACTTTCGTTACAGACTCTTACTGTCTGGCAGTATAATACATTCCCATTGAGACCAGACTACTTAAGTATAGTTGACTTCCTCACACTTCATGTCTGTCTCTTTTGACCAAGTAAACACTTGCAATTGTCACGAACTATATTAAAATGTGTTCCAGTCGAGTTAATATTTACTCTAAGGACTTGCGTACCTTTTGTACGTATCCTCAAGTAACTAAAATTTAGCAGATCGGGACAACTTATACAACATATGGTGTGCAAATTCAAAGCCTTTGTTTTCTTTGACGTTCTTTAGTCAGGTTATGAGTGCATATACTTCTCGGGAGAAATCTTGTTGAAGCAATACAATCTAACAAGTTCAGTAGATATCGACTAAAACTAACGATGATATTGCGCTCTTTTAACATTGTTGTTGCACAATGGAAAAGGGTATTTAAACGCTCCGAAGAAAATATTTTTATTTCAATTGTCATGCGTTTTGATTGTTATCATTAGCCCTTTAGTTGACTTTGGACTTCGCAGGAGGGGGGAGGAACGTCAAAGTGAGAAAAGTCGAGAGGGGGACAGAAGAGTGAATCACAGATGTAAAGGCAGAGAAAAGGTAAGGTGAGTACTTTGGAAGGGGTTGGATATGGCTCACATTGGAGCCATGGTGAAATGGTGGAATACAACATACAGTGGGGTGATAGTAGTTTGAAGTCAGAAGTCAACTGCCAGTTTATAGACTTTTGTGCCGTATGAGTATACGTTGCCTAGGATTCACCACGTGGAGATAAGTCTATCGCATACCCCCGCCAAAGAAAATGATTCACTCTATTGTTCATTGTCTGGTCAGTCTTTTACCAGATATATGTGAATTCATTCAGCCATATACTGTTTCGAATTCACGTTTTAGGCCATACACCTGGTTGTGAAGTTCGCCTTTCATTATCCATTGAAATTTTGCCAATGCCAAAAAACCATTCGTCCGTGATGGAAGGTAAATTAAATTTGCCCACATATTAGAACAAGATCAAATCCGCCTATAAAACGCTGGCGTGAGAATTGCGAACGCTTGTAAACTGTTCTGTCAGGTCACCAGGTGCTGTTTGATGAACCAATTAATCACAATGGCCCTGATTCACGCCGATTTGAGCGAATCATCGGTCACATACCTCCGTAACCCCCCAAATGCTCTAACGTAATTATTCCTCGATTGGACGACAAACTCAAAACCAATTGACCTCCATCAGTATGCCTTAATTCACCCACTTAATCACAATCCAATTTCCATTCATGTAGTATTGATGCTCTATTTCATCTCATTCTTCAAATTCACATTCACCTTTCTTTTTAGCTTCTTTCAAAGTGCACTTTGCATGTGGTCTGAGAAAACAGGGGGAGGGTTTTAGTTCCTCTTAGACTCTAGGAAAATCATTAGTTCTATTGAGGGATAGTTCCACGCCCGATTTGTCTCGGGGTATTGGGCTTAATGCCAATATGGATAATTGCGTACTTTCAGAATTAAACTGAAGTAGAAAGTACTTTTCTTGGATTTCAATACCTACTACCATTTGATCCTCTCTCTCAGCTCATTCTTTCACTCAAATTCCACCTCTCCTCTATTTCGAAGCTCTCCCAACATCAAAGTGACACCTTTTTTACACTTTCAAAAGCAATAGTAATATTAAATTAAAAGTATTTTTCCTTACCAAAGGCACTGCTTTGCGTCGAGATAGAGAGAGAGAGAGAGTGATGGAATGGGTTAAAAATTCATTGAACAAATTTGACAACGAAGCAAAAAAGATGCAGAAACGAAATACACCATTTTATTTTCAAACTACTAAGCATTAATCAGGGACATTACAGTAGATGTGCGTGGGGGAGGGGGGGTAGGGGTGGAGAAACCCAAACAGTCTCAAGGAATCTGCAAAAATACATTACCATTTCTTTAAAACTAAGTATAGAAAAAGGGGAGAATTGGTACTTAGAATGAGTGGAAAAGGCAGACTATGTGTAATAGAAGACTGATAGCAACTCAAGTATTTACAATGTCCTAATTTGTTTATTTGTAGTTCTGAACGTATAGAAAAGCAATTGCGTTGAATTGAATTGAAAAAACAAAAACAACTTTTAGTGTGTATATGTATGAAAAGAGGAACTAGACAAGGGAAAAAGTTTCGCTATACAAATCATTTTGAAAAGTGTATCCTGCTGCTCGCATTCCGTCTAATTGGCGTCTGTGCTCTGCAGACAGACGTTGAAGTTCCTCTCGTATGCTGGAGACAAGATGATTATAGAGGCCGACACCGTCTGAATGAGTTATCATCAGTTGGAAACGAAAGGCCTGGCAGATGAGGTCTCGAAGCCAGTTAACTTCCTCACGGCTCGTTAGTCCTTCCCGATCTAGCGGATAAAGCGCTATTAATTAATTGCACCCTAGTAAAATCAATAACGACATTGTTCTTGCTCCTCTCTTTGCTTCCTGATCAACTTAATTGGTACCTGAAGAAAGTCAACACTTGATATTGAACTAATTTAATGAATGAGTTGTGCGCCACTTCCACCTTCTTTGCAGATCTCTCTGGGCTTTGCTTACAAATTGTGAAGTATGCACTTACCATAGGACAATAGAAATAAACCTATCATATATTCTGAATTGAAGTACAAAACTCGAATTCATGATCAAAAAAAGTCATCCATTCCTCTCCTTTCTCCTTATGGGATAACTATATAATAAAATCATATTTGTGATGCAAACTTTGTCCAGTTATTCCTTGACTATGTGCACATATTCGAGCATCTTACTCAAGTATTCAATAGTCGCTTTCCCTTAACAAATACTGGAATAAACTGGAATAAATGAACTTCCATTAAATGGCAGCTTAATTATAAGCTACAATCTTTGTGAGGATAAACGTCGAACAATGTTTAAATAGACTTATGGTGAAGATTCAACTGAGTTTAAAAGTATGAATCATCAGCAGATTGAGGGTTTTCTTAGCATATTCTGTATCAAATTTTTAGGGATGGCGTAAACTTATCACTCCGAGAGACTTGCAGCCAAAATAATGAGTGACACGTCAACCCCTATTGGTGTCAATATGTGTCCTCGTTAACTGCGTTCTCATGGACAGTATTTAAATTGGTCCTTGTACCTTGAATACGTTGTTTTAGCGTAGTGATTTACTACGTAATATTTCATCCAGAAGTGAATTTTAACCGGACAATAGGATCTACCCAGTGTGAGCATGAAAAAATCCAATTTAATGCGGAATATTCACTCAAAATTTTACGATAACTTAAACTTAGTCAAACAAGTGCATCCTGTCATATCGTTTATAGAACTACACCTGTATGTGCATCTGCATGCACACAGCAAATCCATCTGCCAATTTTCTATTTCTCTCTCTCATGATTTCAGTCATCTTCAAAATAACTTCTGCTCACAGACAAGCTGAACCTTCTTCGTATTGCGACGAGGTGAATATCATAATAAACCAAACACTAATTTATCGATTTTTTTCTGTATGGCACCGAAATTTGCATCAAAAGGGTATAAATTCAAATTGGGTTAAATTGGGAATGCCAATAATCTCCCGAGATACATTCATTGAGTGAACACTTTTACTGAACTTCTTTTGTTTTTGTTCTATAGCTTTTTAACAGCTACGCGTAAGTCTGAGTATTCAGCGTTTACAATTCTGACATTTAGTTAAGATGGCAATTGGCATATAAAACTCCTGCATAAATATGAACTCAGCAATAATTGTACGTCACTATATAGCAGATAAAACGTAGCTGCGTAGTTAAAAGCTATACTAAAAATACTCTAAAAATTATCAGTATTGAGATTGGAAAGGATTTTTTGAATTTCGCTTATATCGACGCGTGTAAGTGAGGCAGTTATGTTGGAGCATATGGAATCATAAGTTAGTGCTTTGCAAAAAAACTGTCATTCTATTGGCAAGTCGAATCGATGCAACCTTTTGTCGAAATCGTTTCCCAAGGTTGGTAATTAAATATATAACAAAAGTGACGACTTACGAGGTGTAACAAGTAGAACTGCAAGTAAGAGACCAAGTATTAGAGGACTCAATCGATACGATTGAACTTGGAAGGCGAAGTCAAAGAGGAGATTCACGAATTTCTTGCTCATTGGAAATGTTAGCCACATCTGACTTTGGGAGAGTGTGAAGTTACCCGGACCACAAAATGTTTGATTTTCTTCATCCACGTAGAAGCTAAACATCACGCAGGCCAACTGCAAAAGAAAGTGCACAATTTTGCACAAAATGAAAGCGCAGAGGATTAGGTTATAATTCGTGTCAATATTGTCCATGACATAACAAAATGTTGTACCCTAAGTTATGGTGATTATCAAAACAATGGGAGAACTAAGGAGAGCATCTCATACATTTTTGTCATCTGAGTTCTTGCTTCATTTGGACACGGTTCATTCAGAACTATCAAAGTGTTCCATTTTTAGGAGTCAATTCCCAAGTTCAGATCTGAGATTTCTTCCGCATTAATCGGAGCTTTTAGTCTGTTTAACCAATATGGAGATCGATTTCGCCAAGAAATCAAACCGGTTTTGACCAGTTGATGCAATTTTTGCAAATTAGCAATCTATTTTTATTTTTCTAAATAAAATCGAACTTAATTGCGCATTACACAACACTAGAGATTTATCGAGACCTAAATTACATGCTACTAACGACATACAAGTAGTCTTACGTGGATTAACAATATTTTGTCATAGAAGGAGATTTAATAAACTCGAAATAAACTTGGATTAAATTTAAGGATTCGCTGGATAAACACAGACCTATGGATTATGGAGCAAAAACTAACTCCATGGTGCCTATTATTTATGCAAAATAAGCGTTTTTTTTACTTTTTTCTCAGGAGGTTTGCACTTTACGCTTATTCTAATTCAACTTGAATTGAAAAGTTTTGAACAAAGTGTAAGTCGATAAATGTCAACCATAATAATGATCTTGAACATTTTTCCCTTATGATTTTATTTACTATAATCACAACCAACCCCCACAGGTGAAAGATAAAAATGTTTCCTTCAAGTTATAGACAAGTGGATATGCTACTAATTAAGTGGAAAGTCCATTGTTGTGTGCTTTATATAACGCTACTGCAATGGGAGGAAAAAATTTTTGGCAAATAATTTCAATTACTGCATTTCTACCAAAATGAATGCGTGTTAACTCGCCCTTCAAACTGACCATCATGAAGCCTAAATACGTTTGTGCAAAAAAAGTACTTTAGAGGAAGCATAAGGGTCTGGAATTCAAATCGAGAAAAAACCGAGTGAAGTCACTGTTTTTGCTAAGAATTTTGTTGTTTTTATTTCATCAGTTTTGCCCTTTAATAACATTTTTAAAGTAAGTATGTGCATGTGATTTTATGTTTTAAGGTTAAAAGCCACTAGTTTAAATTGGAAATCAACCACTTGGTGTCTATTTTGGGAATGAAAATTGCAACAATGACGAGCTGTTGTTTTGAAGAAGATAGCCTTGCTAGTGATCATCACAAACGAGTACTTCTGGGGGGGGGGGGGGGGAGATTAGAAGAATCCTTTCTACATAACTTTACAGGCAAACTTTGATGAGGAAAGTCTTCATTGGCTTCGTTTGTGACGTGTTGAGAGAAATAATGTATAAGACGACGTTATCTGAACTAAAATCTTTTTTCTGCTTAATGTCTACCCAAGTAGGTGAATTTTCTTTTTCAGGAAATGTAGAAATGAGAAAGTGAACTCTAATGGTTTCAAAAATAATGTAAAACTCGTGATATTCTCTATCCTACATGCTATTTTATTTATTCTCATGATTATAAGTGAATGAGGCCAATGCAAACGTTTCTGCAACAGGACCAATTTATGCCACTTAGTCGGTTAGAATTTGTGCCGAAAAGGGGTCGATCGACTCTGGTAGAATATCAAACTACTTGGTGTTTGAAATAAAGTGTAATCGTTTTTCGCTAAGCAAAATTTCAAGCCATGAAGCATAAACTATCTGTGGCCTTGAGTTGGCATTGCAAACGAAGCAAATTACCTCCACTTTTTAATTATTTTTCAACAATTAACGTCTAAAAGTTCTATATCTTATTTCATCTCTTTTATGCTAAATAGAAACTGTTCTAAATCTCTTGCCAGACAACTGACCTTGCTCAAGGCATTCTTTTATCAACAATGTTGCAAAAGAAACTAAGGTTTCGGTTAGTGGTACTAAACTATTTTTTTTCCACCTATTGTCTGAACCGCAAGCAATTAAATGGCTCTAATTACTTTCAGATACATCATCGATAACCGGGGTGGTCTTTTATTAGTCACTTCCAAAACAGTAGACCAATTCAATGTAAATAGCTCTTTCCCACAATAAGCCAGGGAGTTGATTGGATGAATTATCTAATCAGAAACCAACTATGCTTGAATAGCATAGTTCGCTGACATGCACAATATTAAATAAATCGATAAGACACTTCCTTCAATTTATTCCATACATCTTATGGCTTTCCATATTGAGATTGCAGTCCACTGTGCAAAAACGATTGTGCAAAATAAAAGGCCTTGTGTTTAGAACGGTTTGAGAATTAGCTCAAAGAATAGGATAATGTATAATTTGAATTTCGTAAAAAACTACACCTTGCGTGTTCTTATTTTATCATCTTCGGGCTGTGCGATAGACTTACCTCCACGTGATGCACCTTGGGAAACGTATACTCATTCGGAAAATAAGCCAATTAACCGACAGTAGACGTCTGAATTCAAACTACCATGACCCCACTGTATGTCATATTTGACTGCTTCCACAGAACTCACCTCACTTTTTTCTACCTTTGTGTCTGTCTCTTTTACATCATTGAAACTCTCTTCTGTTTCCCCCCCCCCCCTCCTTTAAATTTTTTCACTCTGATGTTCCTTCCCCTCTATGAAGCCTGAAGTCAACTAAAGGGCTAATGATAACTATCAAAACGTCTGCCATTTGATATAAATAAATTTTATCATTTCCAAAAAAACTGATAGTAAAATTGATTCCGCCTTACCTCGAAACATCCAGACTGCACAAGTATCATTCGATCCTCAGGCAGTAGATCCGAGAAGCCCGGAATTCGCTTGGCAAATTTCACCGAATCTTGCATTATCCGATCAAAACAGGTTTGAAAGGCGCGGAAAGTTTTGCGTCGCACTTCAGAGGCCTGTGCAGTGTGTGGTCTACCATCCTAAAAAGAATGAATTATCTTTACTGGTGGAATTCACACTTTCACTGGTTGAAATAGGAGTTAATACAAATTTCATTTTACAATTCCCACCTAAGTTTGTAAAGGAGTTAGTTATAATCCCCTCCCATCACTTCCCCTTTATGTATTATTCCATATCCCTAACCTCTCCCAGACTTAAGTTCATTCGATTCCATAATTTAAGTGTTAGTCATAATATATAATATGTAGTTATGAAATTATAATCACCTCCCAATTTTTGACCCCGAAGAGATGTTGGAGTGTTGCTTCATTGGCGGCATGAATGTGTTCCCGCGGCTGTTTGAATGCTGGACAGGCAATGTGCTCCCTAAATGTCACCGAGAACGAGTTTTCTATGGTCCTTAGAAGCTCTGTCAACAACGATCCACCATCTGGAGCAAGATTTGGTGATGGCGTAGTGCACCGTTTAGGAAACTAAAACGTAAAAAAAACAATTTTGAGTTAAGTTTATTAATTAAAAATTCACTTAAATAAAGGAAGTTCTCTTGGCACCATAGAAAAGGAAATTACAAACCAAGTGTACCGAACCGTGTAGTTGTATAAAAAGGTTAATATATCCTATTTATAAGACACTACCATTAATTCCCAGCCAATTGCGCTGTTCTTTAACAATTTTCAAATGCAACAAATGGTGCAATTTAAGTGTACTCTTAATTTTGATGTTATAGACTTCACTTAACCGGGGTTATTTTAATTTATGTGTCTGGTATTTCAACCTCCGTACAAGCAAAGGCATTTAACAATGATATTAGTTTTTTGAAAGTACAATTAATAAAACCATCTATACCGCTCGCATGCATATGGAAGTATTTCATTCCACATCAGAAAATAAATTTGTTGAAGCAAAATATGGAATCTCATATACGTGGAAACTAGTATTAACAGGCACCTAAATAAAATCCCCTCCCACAAACTTTATGCATTAGCGTCAAGCGATTTCGTGTTTTAACTGTTATCCTCTAAGAGATAATTGGATTTGGAAATTGAGTAGGTGACACACAAATTGCTCAAACCACAAGGAGAAAACCTCTTGCAAAATGTAAAAATTTAAATTTTATGCTGCGACTCTTGACGATCTTGACATCGATCTGACCAATTGGAGATTTAATAATTCGAATGATCGTTTATTTGACTTCTATCGACAATGGGTTTACAATTAGGTAATAATGGATGACTTGGAAATAATACGATCGCTTTCAAAAATTAAATGAAGTGTAGTAATAATAATGATAATACTGTATAACAATTTCTTGCGACCATATTAAATGACTCGGGACTTATTTTGTGGGCTTTAAATGCTTATTCATATACACATGCATAATTCTGGGGAGTAATCACACTAGAACATTCTGGAGGGTGTGGTCGTGAATGCAGAGAGCCTCTTACCTAATTAGCTATTAATATTCATTCAAATTACATTAAATGCATTCAAATACGAAACGTGCTTCCTGTGAGTACAAATTCAACAAACGCTATACTCGTTACATGTCCGCTTCTTCTACACCATTGAGATGGCTTAACTCATTTCGGAAGCTTACACATACTTGGCTGTTTTGTCATAGCTTATTCGTGGAACAATCCTCTATAGTTTTGTTGAGGAGTAGTGGATCACATCATCGCCTAACACGTGATCGCATGAGTGCACAACCATTGGCAAATCAGAAGACTTTGTTTGTTTAAGAGGATCCGGCGTGTACACTTTTACCACAATATACTTCCTAAATAAACGTGTTACGTGCAATATGTCTGTTTCCTCTACAGCTGGGCTGTAGCTTAGCTGGTTATGGAAGACAAACTAGATATAGGGGAATCTGCCACAGAGATTTCTGAGTCAGTCAAGGTTTTACTAGTGTCGTATACCGCTACAGAGTAGATAATTAAATGAACACTGCGCAATACTTTGAACCAAAATTAATAAATGATATAATTTTTATAAAAAATGCCAATTCGATGAATATATCTATTCTCTATAGAGGTCTTATGACTAAATCTAATTGCCTACTCAGCAAAATTAATTTTATGGATTTATAATAAATAATAATAATTAGTAACAGAAAATAGGATTGTAAGCTGAAGAGGATTCAATCCAAGAATTATTATCGATAAATTCCATCTTAAAAATTATTTATTTCACAAATCAATTTCACTAGCATTTCCATTGACCTTTAGCGAGTCAGTTAATCACTCAATTTTTGCATTTTTGAAAAATTTCGCGTAAGTGGGGAAATTTAGGAAAATTGCAAATCTTTTCCTTTAGGCTCTCCTATGAAAAGCGTTTGTAAACGATGCGCTGGGGTGTGCCAAAACGGTAGGTATTCATACCGGTATGCTGATTAATTATACTGTCGAACAAAACCTTTTTGTGCATTCAGACAATCGATTAGTAGTCTGCTACACTTTGTGGCATCGACTAAGCAGTAAGTGGAATTTTTATTATTAAATAAATTCTCTAATGTGAGTTTGCGCGTGCAAATTTGTTATAATTTGCGGTATTTAAAATCAGTGGAAAGAGTTACGAATGAAAAATTCGTAAAAATATACCAAATAGTAGGTTGTTCAATGAAATAAAGAACGCTTCATTCCTTGAAATATAAACTTCAGGGTTGGTTGTTACAATTTAAGAATGAAGGGGGGTGGGTGCAAAATGAGGAAAAATCCGTTCCCGGCAGAACTTTCGTATCATTGAAAGCTGTCCAAATTTAGCCATTAATAAGCTCTTCAAACAAGCAAACGTCATATTTACATGAATTGATAATTTTTTACTATTATATAAAAACAATGATTATATAGTTCAAATCAGTTGAGCCCAGTTGTATAAAAATTATCATCGGATGTCAAATTCATGCGCTCAATTGCTGAAGAATAGAATTTGAACCTTTTGAGCCATTTCTTAAGATTTGTTTCATAATTTATAAACTTTAAATAATTGGAACTGACAGAGAGAACAATCATTTTCCGATTCCTTTTTATTCTTATAACCAATGAATTGAGAAATAAAGTTGATCGTTACATTTAGCGAAATTCGTTTCCACCCTACAATTCGAGTATTACTGCTCACTTAGAGGAAAATACCGGAAATGGTTCCCTTATTGATCTCACATATTACTAAAGATCATTTAATGAATACAGGATTCGGAGTTAACTCCTGCAAACTTCTTCTAAGTGTATTCCATACTAACAAGTTGAAATTACAACAACAACAATCACTTTTCCCACCTCTGGAAAAGAAAGGAAGAAAGAAAGAAGGAAGACATTTATTACTGTCATGCCCATTTGGCACATTAAGGCCTAACGGCGAGTGGTAGAGCAGTTGGTGTTATAGTTGAAGCTCGCACCGAAATTTATCAGAAGCTAGACAGCACCCACTAAGCCGTGCTTATTAATCTTTGGGGAGGCATCGTCATTTGTTTTCGTTACACCCCGAATTTCTCACGCCTACCTCCTCCTATAACACACAAACACACACACACAGAGAAATCAAAAAATTTCACTAATACCTACAAGGATATTTCATAGAAATTTGTATAATATTTTCATCTTACTTACTATTGAAATGGTATTTTTGTGAAAATTCCCCCAACCCCCCCCCCCACTCCCTACCCCCGAAAATCCCTGATGAAATTTTAATATATACCACACTGAATTTCATATCAACGTAAAGATCGTATTTCTTAAAATTTATTAAAGTCGGTTCGTTTGAATTTAATAGTATATTGTGCCATAATATGGTATAAAAATTAAGTTCTGTGAAATTCTCACTATTATTAAACTAGTTTGTTATTAAATACTTTCGTATGCTATAACTCCATTTGTTATACTAATTCAGAGTATTCCTTATAGATATTGTATATTTTATTATAATCGACATGATCATTCCCGAAAACGCAAATGAGTTGTTCATTCTCAATTACTAATACCAAACACTTCCATAAATAATTTGGTTCTAGGTTGTTGGTTAACATCAACTCGAAATTTAAATTAAAAAATAAAGATTTTTTGCTAATTTTTACGCTCAAATATGGCTTCTGAGTTATAAAAGAAATTACATTTAATGGTTGTAATGGTTAAATTGAATATTCATTTACCCTAATAAATCGGCGTTTTGTTTTCGCACAAGTGCGTGTTGTTGAGTTCGTGTGGCTGTTATCTGACGAATTGAGCGTAATGGTCTGATTCGTTGGTACTAAGCTCAATGTCTCCACCCCGGTAGTGCTCTGATTGGGTGAATTAATTTGAATGTGGTGGTATTCCTGTGACAGCGTGCTAACCGGAGATATGGCCGTGACAGCTGGGATGAGTGGTGTTGCTGGCGAACTTTGTGTTGATGGCAGACTTAAAGAATTGTGGTCTTTTATTTTGGGTTTGATAAGGCGGAGTTTTTTCGACTGAGGAGTTGACGGATTTAGGCCTTGATCGGGGTAGCTGCCAGACCTCAGTGATGTGGCACTTGGATGAATGCTTCCATCATTCTCACTCATCCAGAATAGCATCACTCCATTGTGCTGATTTTCCTATTAATGCGAATATACAAATATCTAAAACCATAATAAAGGCAAAATCTATATTTGCTTAAAAGTCTTTTTTCAAATAAAAATAAGCTTAGGCTCTTGTTAAATCGAAAAAAACGAATTGAATTTCTTTGAATCAACCATATAGTAAACAGATATTTCAAATGTTAAATACTTATTGAAAAAATCTTCTTTACCATAAGCTTTGCTTAGCTGTACACCATCAAATATCTGCAAGTTCTCCACTTTCAGGAATGGACAGGCAGAGATTCTCGATAATTTAATTATTTGTCAATACTAAAATGAGGGTTTATATTCATTCATTCGTTTTGCAATTAACGAAAAATAAACAATAAAATAACAGCTAAAGTAAAGTAACAGTCATGACTTTGTATGTTTAAACAATTTCGGCGTTGCATCGATTTGAAAGTAAAATGATCCATCTTTTTGTTAGAAATAAAATGTTTTGTATGCCTTCCCTATAGTAAAAATAATTGCGCTTAAATATATATTAGATATTATTTCAATTTTTATTAAATTTTTGTTAATGTGGTGAAATATTGCCTATTACTTGACAATGTTTCGAAAATTTATACCTAAATGTTGGCTTTTAACAATTGTAGGAAGCGTTTTAAATTTTTATTGAAAAGAGAAAGCGAAGCAACATATCATATTATAGCTCATAACCGTTTTGAGTTAAAATTTAGTTAACCTATTAGAGCTGTTATAATATTAAGTAAAGATATTCCGAATTTATTTATTTAGATGTTATGGTAAGCATATATTAATATTTTTCTAGGCTTTCATGCAAACTTATTTTAAATTTACACTTTCTGTTGTTAGAATATTTTGATTTGGCTCCAAATGCATTGCCCTATCATATTGATTCATTTTGAAAGAAAAATATTAAGTTGAAAACTCACTTTATGCACACTCTAATCTGTAAGGCCAGAAATATTATCTCCATATTGAACATATAGAGACTACAAAAAACGGTTAAGTAATTTGTAAAATTCGAAATAGATTGTGTTGACCTTGGGTATAAGTTTGAATCTACTTTCCATTTGATTGGATATTATTGTCGCTCTCTAGTGATATTTCTAACTATTCAAAATTTAATTGAATTAATTTGTTCTATTCATGTTTACCTTTTATTGAAAATCCTGATACAGGTTATTTTTTGCAGAAAATCCATGAACGGTGCAAAAATTTTTATATTAAGCTAGAAAAATACAAAGGCACCTTTGACAGGAAATTAATTTTACAGCATTTTTAAAAGTACCAATCATCAATCAGAATTTAATTGGGTGCTTCATGATTTAAAGATAGTCGTTTGCATAGAGATTCAAAAAACAGTAAATTCGTTTACTCCGTCTTCTAAATTGCGTAAGTTTAATCATGTAAGAAAAACTGACAATGTCAAGATTAAGCTTTGAATTATTCTATTGGGGGTAATTTAACCGAAGTAGGTTTCGTGATCGAGAAAATTAGTTGTAATTTTTAAATTAACAGCCTTTGAATCAATCAAATTTAACTTTTTTCTAAAGTGGTTTAGATTATTTAATCATAGCTCCCCTTTTCACTTTCCACCCATCAGTTTAAATGACCTTCAACGTTAGTATCTTTCACATGTTTAATTGAAGCACCAACTAATCATTTTTTCTACTAAACGAGCAAAATAATGATATAGTTAGTATTAACTTTTTTCAATTTTATGAAATTATTTGCACAAACTAATTTCATACTCCACTGTTTGCAAAAAAAGACAATCTTAGGCAGTATTCAACTTGTACTTAAATTTCCCTAATTTAAGTATGCAGGATTATCTGAATGCTTGTCAGTCGCAACTCAACAGTTTGACAATCCTATAAGGCAATGATAACGCAATGGAATGCCTGAAAGAACTCAATCAGAGATTGAATTACGTAAGCTATTGATTGAATGGGAATTATATAATCGTAATCACTGTCAAATTTGTTTATTATGTGAATAAATCCCATTTTGAAATATTAAATCCCCTAATTGAATTACCACTTCCACCCATTCTGCAGTAAGCAAATGGAGTTGGGCATGACATTTTTGGACGGACAAGAGAAAAGCATGTCTGACAAGTTGAAATGGGGTAAAAGGTTGCAGTGGTGTGAGTGGACAAAACCCATCCACCGGGTTTTGCGCCACTACCGAATCAACTATTTCTGTTACTCCGGTAATTGATTAATGTTAATTACTATGCACACCTTTTCCGCCAATTCCTTTCCCATTTTTAACACCATTGTCTAAGAGCAAAATATGTTTCCAAAGAGGGATACATTTATCATGATTTGTTGACAATGCTGTTCATGAAATCTTCTAGAGGTGTATGGTCTTTAAATCCAACATACAAGGAACATCTGGAAACACGAGTTGAAATTAATGCCGACTTCGTGACGTTAATTAAACGTAGTTGGCGATTATAGAGAGAGGTGGGTAAGTAAGAATCGAATTAAACTAACGGAAATTTTATTTAATCAGTTTGGTTCCCCTCAATCATTAAAATGCTCAGAGTTTTTGTTGGTGGATAAAAGGGAGTAAAAAAGACTGTTTTATGTTAAAGAATTCCCTGTTTTAATGATTATCCTACCTGGAAGGATAAAAATTAAAAATTCACCAATATTTAAAAAGAACAAAGTTTATGAGCAATGCCTATTTGACCTTGAAAACTGCAAAGTTATGAGCGAGGATTACCAATCATTTCATTGGTCATCTCTCTGAGTATACACTTTTCGTGAAGACTTTTTCACTGTTTGCAATGATGACTTCAAATAATGAAATCGTCATTAATAAACAGATCTTTCGATTTGACATGGAAAATACACGATATTTTATGATGTCGATATATTGTCGATAGCAAGGCACTATGCTATTGTTTTATACTTATGACTGATGTTCGAGATCTTATGTATGGAGGCACTCCTTGTTTAAAATTACAAATATACAACATTTATAATCAGTGATATTTCGAATGCCGTTCATAACTATACAACTAGGGAGGTGTAGGCTCACTATGAATTATCACCAAACTGCTAAATTACAAAATCTAATTTAAAAGAATTTTATAACAATACATCCGTCGTTAGGGCCAGACGTCCAACTCTTTACGTCAGTATTTACACTGCAGTGAACCTTTTTTCTCTTTGTTTCAAGATCTATAAGGGATTAAAGATAAATCACGGTTAACATTTCCTTAATGTTCCCAGGGCAGGGAAATGGGTAGTTAGGGGAATTTCCGCCATTTACTCGCTGAATCCTCCCCGCGCATAAATTCAAACAACACAGCTAAGAGATCTAGTTTAACTGTTACTAATTCTCTCATGCGTATTGATTTTACAATTAAGCTAATAGAGGCATCTTTTGAGATTGTCTATGTAGTGTGCGTAAGTAGAAATAAGATTGATAAAATCCACAAATTGTAATGGTCAATACTGTGAAAATTTAACACAAATGTGATAGCCGTGGGAATTTTATAAAAATTGAACACAATTAATGAAGACTTTGTATTTAATAAGTACAATCTAACACTGCTTATTGCCAAAAAACACCTACAGAACAAATATTTAAATAAATATTGTTCTCAGTTTTGATATTTCACTATCTGCAAGAATGTAACCTTGGATATTTTTGAGAGGAATTATAAACAATAAAGCTCATTTTGAAAGGTTAAATCAAGGCACTGCCTAACCTAACGCCTTTAATGAGTATTATTCAGATATTGTATAATAAATTGAAAGAAACTTAGATAAATGGCTTTAACTTTATGCTCGCATTTTAATGGGGTAGATTGTGGAGTGCTCAACGCTATCAAAGATGTTCCCGCGTTTTTTTGCGTGCAAAAGAACGTTCTAGATAGTGTTGCCATCCTACCGATCGTATATCGAGCAAATGACAATTTGTGTGCAAAGGATTCACATCCAGCCAGTGATCCATATTCGTGAAACTTAGCGTTGATCGTTCTCCCAATTGCCAAATATTTCCTATTAAAAGTACTCGTCTCACCATACCATATGTGCTTTTACTGCATTTAACGGGACCAGCGCATTTTTAAGAAAAGTAAACTATAGAGATTGAACAGACTCTAGTTGTACTCGTACGTGGCCAGTTGAAAGTTTAAGAGCATTACTGTGATTCAATTAAAGGGTTAGTTAGTAAAATATCCACAACAAGCTACTCTCCTTTTAAGGTGGCTAAATTTTACCTTTCTACAAATTTCGGCAAACCCATCAAGCACAGCTTATCTTACGTGATTTGATTTAAAATTATGCAAGTGCAAAATTGTAAGTAAGCATAATTTATTTTGCTTCCATGAGATTGAAGCATCGAATTTTCATCATTTTGGCTACTAATATGCGTAATATGTCAAGAAAAGGATCGATTATAAGGGTATTGACTAAATATTCCTCTAATAATGTCAATTCAAGTCTCATACACAATTCAAAATAACGAACCATTATTTGTGATCCTGTCGAGAATGAGCCCATTTTGCCATTACTTCGATTAGCATTATTTGTAAGATAATCCTCATCTAGCGTTGGGATAGAAAGTGGTGTCACACCCCAATCATATGTACTTCCTCCGGATACAGACGTGTCGACAGACGGGATACTGCTGAATGCTGTGAAAGTGGCATCGCTACCACTTGGTGAGTTACCGTCGTCAAAGCGTCGGGGCTGTTGATTTCGAAGTATATCTAATGCTATTGGAATTTTCGCTGCTGTTTGATGGCCTGTAATGGTAATAAAACACATCAATAAATGATTCCATTAAATGCTTTTCACATATTCATTTGCCTGAAGTCTTATTAAAAATCAAAACTTAATAAATGTTCCAGTGAGTACTATTGTATTGTGTTTATTTTTGAATATTCAACATATATTTTACCATTTAAATTTAATTTCAATCAATAAATAATTAAAATTATTATTGAAGGAAAGTGTGTAATTATGAGGAAAAAACGTAACAAAAATTATTAGCAAGAGGTATATTGAAATATTCGAGCCAAGGTCGACAACTATTTTTTTCCCAATTATACCTTGTATGCAACCTTGACATTTTCATTTAGCGAACCTTTAATAGCCCATAACAATCAGACAAACTGAAATTACGTAGGGTTGAAGTTGAAGACTGCTAAAAACTTGCTGTGCATACCATAATGTCAAAATTCATTTTTACAGCAAACTAGAACAGTCATGACGTGGAGAATAGTAATGCTGTCCGATCTACTAGGGGCAAGTCACGGGGAAGGCGAAGAAGCATGCCTAGATGGCTACAAGCGCAATTTTCTGTTTCCAACGAAATCTACTACTACTTCTCGGTGTAGAGTTTAACAGCGTTGCCATAGTGATACAGTCGTGTTCAATTTAAATGATGGCATTAAGGCTGAAGAATTGCTCTTACAATCGCTTCTGACATTAACCAGATTTTGAAGGCAAACGATGCTTGTTCTTTAAGCTAAATCCCGTTTTTTATATGCAAATATTTAATTATTAAGATTGTTTTGGGAAAGTAATTGTACGTTTAAATATATATTAGGAAAAAACTATGCTCAGATAGGAGGGCTTATTGGGGGTAGTTTTAACATGCATGCTCACTCCTCAATGGAACCTCGAGGAAAGGTTCTCATCAATTTTAATCAAAGTAACAAAGGTGACCGTCTTGAAGTTAGCAATTGGAAAAACCATCATTTTCGTGTCATCCAAAATACCCAGAACGGATTATTAAAGTGTCCTTGAAACAGCCAATGTTATTTACGGTAATCATTTGTCCAGTAGCTTTGATGATTCTCATTAATTCTGCTATAAATATATGTTTTCATGGCACTACGCCCCTTTGTCAGTTATTTTTGCAGTTTAGCCAGAAAAATATATGAACATATAGGTCATTAGAATGCACATTGGCCGATTGTGCACGTTGATTTATCAACCACAAATGCAGGCATATTAATTCTAACATTACAAGTAGGCTTGAGTGGAATGCAAGCCTAGTTTGTGTGGAAAAACGATGTGTTATTTAGTGTGAATGGTAATCACAGTGCATTTGGACGTTACAGCCTTGAAATAAATTAACACAAAACCAAAGCTGACTTAAAAACCTCCCCAACCCCCACCCCACCCCCACCACCACAACAGAAATTCCTTTAACTCGAATTAAGTCAAAATCTGCATGACATTAAAATATGTAAAGTACTTTCATTCTGCTAAATTGTAATAAAATAAATACATTCTCCACTTGAAAAGTGAATGATTGATAGTGCCTGTTAAAATTTGCATGTATTTTACTTAATAAATTTAGTGGCTAAATCCTGACTGAGAAGAATTCGAATTACAAGTAAAATGGTAACTCGGTCTTGCTTAAAAATGATCAAGGTTACACTTGCAGTTAGCTTTAGATGTTCATTGAATGCGAATAGAGCTATCGAATAGGCAACTATTGTTTCGTTAAATAATCTTGCTCCATTAAACAGAGTTATGGGACGGTAACTATCCTTGGAACTTTTAAGTAGCCCACCTATTCTCCCCCCCCCCCCCACCCTTGATTAATTGAGAGTATTTAATAACCTAGTTGTTAAGAAAAAGTGAAATACAATTCGTTGTTTATAGTTGACTGTCTCCTTATATGTTACGCTCATTCTAATCACTTAATGAGAATCTATTATAAGGACATTTGAAAGTGATTGCTATGCTTACACCCTTGCATTGGTACGTTCGATGTATAGATCCGTTAACATAGATAGATTCAGACTCAAGGCAGTTTGTCGAATGAACTGAATTATCATCAAGTTTTTTTGTATTAACGTAACGGAGACAATTTATAAGACGGGGTGTGTGATAGACTTACCTTCACGTGGTGTACCCTGGGCAACGTATACACATACAGCGAAAAAGTCCATTAACCGGCAGTTGACTTTTGACCTCTAACTACCATCACCCACTGTATGTCATATTCCACCATTTCAGCAGATCTCGCCTTACCTTTTGCTCAACCTTTGTGCCTGCCTCTCTCTTTTACATCTGTGAATCATTAATCTGTCAACTAAAGGGCTAATGATAACTATTAAAATGCCTGCCATTTGAAATAAATAAATTTATAAGACTGGTACTGTTCTTCAAATTGCCGGCGCATGTGAGCGAACTCACCCTCAAATCGACGACGATTCGACCAGACTCTCGAGAAACGAAAGATAAAGTGTGTGATAAGAGCGGCATCAACATCTAGACAATCTGTGAATTGATCATCATGAGTATAAAACAGACTTTAGGAAAATTGTCATCGTACTGTAAGCCTTTTATTTAAAATAATTGAAAGGAAAGTGTTTCTATTAAAGTCAAAAAGGTAAACCCGGTTCCATTATTACCATAGGAAAAGCCTAATGGAACTTAGTCCAGGACACTAATCGCGAAATTTTATATTTTAACCAAGGGGTATGCGATAGACTTACCTCCACGTGGTGCACCCTGGGCAACGTATACTCATACAGCAAAAAAGTCTATTAGCCGGCAGCTGACTTCTGACTTCAAACTACCATCACACCACTGTATGTCATATTACGCAGTTTTCACAGTACTCATCTCACCTTTTCTCTGCCTTTGTGTCTGCCTGTCTCCTCTACATCTGTGAATCACTCTTCTGTTCCCCCCTCCCGAATTGTTCTCACTATGATTTTCCTCCCTCTGCGAAGCCCAAAGTCAGCTAAATGGCTAATGATAAATACTCAAAACGCCTCCCATTTGAAATAATAATTATAATATTTTAACCAAACGGAACTTTCCATAACTTGATCTTCCATTTAGTATCTCAACTATTTTTAGATGAAAAATTTTAATTAGTGATCTGTGAGAAATCGAGACTTTAAATCATTCAGGTAAAAGGGTGTACTGAGTAATGGATACAGACATCTAAATGCCATGGAGAGCAAATTTTAGTTATTTATTCAATCACTAACTTTTTTCATTTACCAAATTATGTTAATGTTGTCTTTGTTTAAATGGTTCCCAACGGTGAATAAGTGTAAAATCATGCAACAACTGTTAAAATAATTTGTTTTAATTGAAATATTTAGATGTATTTTTTTCCTCGAACAAAAAACATTTTCCTTTACATAAAGACAAATTAAATAGTTATTATAAAGATATTTATTTGAACTTACTTGTTTGAATACTATGGGAGTCCCTATTTTGAACTTTCAAGCACTTGCTGCCTTCGTCAGGTTTATTAAAATGTTGACCATGAAGAGCTATTGATAGATCGAGATTTTTCCACGTTTTCCTAGATCTGCGTCCTAATTTTGCCGCCTCACGAGACATTCCTAATTCGAGACATCGACGTAGTCGACAGGGCTGACAGTGGTTGCGGGTTTTAATGGAAATTTTGCAGCAGTCCTGCCGAATGCACTTTCGAAGATGTGCTCGTTTATCCTTTCAGAAGGGGAAACCATATTTTAGAGCACTTTTGGAGAAAAAAATATGCTAATCTTGGGGTTTTTTATTATTTTAACTTTATTATGTAAAATCTTTCCAATTAGACACTCACTCCTAATTAGTTTAGTTAGTAACATGCCACGAAGTTAGACAGCCATTTCACCAAATAGTTCTTCAAGGACTGTATTACAAAATAGTGCTTTTTTCAAACTTTTTATAAATTTTAGGCGAATTTTTGGCCAAAGTGTGAATTTTGCATAAGTTATATATTAGTTTTTTATTGAAATTTCATTAAAAATCGAATGCTTTACATTTTGCCCTGCTTTTACTTCTACCTTTCATCATTTCACAAATAATACGATCGCTGTCAAAGTTGTTGACACCGTTAATAGGAGTACTTTTCGTTTGTGAGATTAGGGTTAAGTGTCTCTTAGAGATTGTAAGCCTTGTTTAAGTGCTGCCATGTCACTCACTTGCCTACTTATTTCGTCTGAGTAACAATTTAAGGCATATTAACACTTCCCTTTTGAATGGTGGAATAATTCAGTGTTTTAACCCATTGGTCACCTAGTCTTTTAAATAACTACAACTGAATTCCAACTTCTGCTCATATTATAGATGGCTTTGTTTAATTTTGCCTAAGTTATTTAATTCGTGGAATTTCATAAATGCCTAGTTATCAATCAAAGTTGTTTGCACAACGTACTATTAATTAATGCTCTTTACCTTTACAGTATAATCTTGTTAGCAAATATGTGAATATATATATATATATGTTGTTTAAATTCAGTTGGACAAAATTTATAGAATCAGAATCGTCTAGTCTTTGCAAATATGTTATTCACGTCTTGGTTCCCTTCACTTTTTTAATGGCTATCACGATTAGTTTGGTTTCTTAATGCAAAACAAGGTAAAAAATTGTCGTTGGGGAAAAAATTGGCTACACATTTGCAAACAAAAATCTTGTTTTCCAAGCGATAAATGGGTGCTTTATTTTAGCACAACAACGAATTTCTGGTGGTATTTCTCGCGAATGAAAACCATTGTTGCTTATGTTATTCTCAACCGGAGTAGTTGAATAAGCTTGCTTTCATGAATTAAAGGCGTAATAATTTGAGAATATTAAAAATGTAAGAATTTTCGGCAACGTAACCTTTTTTCAATAAAGCACCGACTGAGTGAGAAATCGTGTTTTCTTAAATTCATTACTTATTTATTTCTAAACCCTTTCCAATTTGCGTACCATACTCACTTGCAGAAATAATAAATTATGTTTATTTTAAGAAATTAGCAGTGAATTTTTGTTAAATTGCATCTTGAAATTATTTGAACTCATGAGGTGCAACTATAAAAACTAACCCAATGAATAAAAAAACAAAACACTTGAGGTTACAGTCAATTGAACGAAATATCATAGCTATTTTCCCTTTATAATCCTTCATTATATTAGGTTAAGTATGATTTTGATTTGTCTAACTTACTGGGATAACTAATGGAGCATTTGGAACATGTTATCATCATTCAAGCCACAATTAGTGTGGCTTTAAGAATTTGTTTAAAGGGATATCGATTTGATTAAAGAATGTGTGATGTCCTAGAGTAGCGAGGTCATAAAAGAAGATGCATTGTGTAAATAGAATAATTAAAATGATATATCAATAGATAGATTGATGGATAGATATAGATATAGATAAATACTGGTACACCAACCTGCAGGGCCCGTCGAAAAAAGCCTTTGCAGCCTTCACACGAGAGAACGCCATAATGAATTCCACTGGCGATATCTCCACAAACGAGGCATAGCATGCTGGACATCTTTCTAATTGAAAAATTCCTATATTTCCACCGAATTTAAATAAGTAAAATCTAGTTTTTAAATCTAGTCTATCCTAAGTGACCTATTAGAAAGATAATCATCAGCGTTTTTCGAAGCCGGACCCATTTCCCAACGCCACCTCCCATTGGGTTCGTCCCCACCAATCAAATGCCTACGTTTCTTGTGCTGTTTTGAGTGAATCCCGTTTAAGGTGCTTTTCTTTCAATAGGAAGTAATATTAATTTGGCGTCTATTTTTATATTTTTCACTATAAAAGGCATTATTTATTTGAATAATATGAAATTTGACTTGAACTAAGTGATAATTCCAATGTATCATCATTCTTTGTCATAATTTCAACATTTTAAGTAGAAATTGTTAATATCTTAAATAATGTAGCGTATTAATGATATTCAAAAAAATTTAAAGCAAATGAAATTGAAACTTTGATTGTTTATTATTTATTTGTGAATTGGTCTGCATAGACGGAGTCTCACAGGACAAACTGAAATTGCTAACGCCTGACAAGTTTCTACCAGTATGAATAAAATTGAATGGATTTGTTAAATTATAAATTATCATTCAATGATGTTTAAGAGGACAACGTAGTTCCTTCCATAAATTTTCAGCATTTCATATCAATTCAAGTCTCATATACGAAATGATGATAGAAAAATCCAGATGCCTTATAATGAATATGGAAAGAAAGCCCGAAATGTGAAATCTGGCAAACATTAGTTGACAGATAAATAGTATGACATTTTTGTCAACATTAATGCTGAAGGTAATTCTTAGGCTATTTGATACTAAAGGTTAGTTCGCTTGGTTCTAAGGAGCACATAATAGATATAAATAAAAACTTTGAAAGAGCGAGGAGGCTCCGAAAAACGCGTTTGAGGTTGCATAAAGGAATGCAGTTATCATAGTTTAAAACTAGCACAGAATTAGTATTTTCTTAGGGTCAAATATGGGCTATTATGCCTCTCAACATTAAGGCTAAGAGGAGATTAATCCAGCATTTAGGAAGAAAATTGAAATTCTCATCACCTTAACCATATTTCTCACTTTAAAGAAGTACTCTTACCTAAGGTTCCGGCAGTAGATAAATATTGGAATTGTTATGCAAGCTTAGTGCTTCTTAAATTAATTCATGAGTAATAATTAGATCTAAAATTACTGAACTATATAATGGGTTTAATGTCTCTATTTTGGCATGGTTAGGGAACTTGCTTTATGCCGTGGCATGAACAATGAATAAAATCAAATTTTTAGCCATTGGAAGCGCCTTCAAGTCACGAATCAAATAGCTGCGCCACTATACCACACCTTTATAAAATTCCACATGGATACTGTTTTGCAGTACGCTGTCAGATTTGCAGCAATTTCGAGAATTCTAAGCAATTAGTTTGTTCAGTCAGTGTCCTGTGAAATTATATGAAGGATATTATTGAACTTAGATTGAGGAATTTAACTTTATTAACTGTCTCCTAACATATACTAAAAGTGCCCTGACCAAGCTCTGGGAAATTCTGTCACCTTTAAGCACCTTAATTCTTCCATTTTCCTATTCTTGAACTCCCTGAATTCTTGCATCATGTCATTAACCTTATAACTCAGACATCTCATTTTGTTGCTTTAGAGCCATCCTATCTCCTATTTCCCCTCCGCAAGCAGTCCTAGCCACCAGCTTGCCGGCCTTTTTTCTCATTTCTCTTGCTCTCTGTGGTGGCGACAATTATAGCAGCGTAATTGGACTCAATAATTCAATATCACGTCTCCTAAGCTAGACCCTTTTACATCCTCGAAAGGAGCGCCTTTTTATCTTCAATATCGAGATCAATATTTCGCTGGATTACCAAAGCATTAATGCGGAAATAACTGGATTGAAAATTTATTCCTTTCAAATGGCAGGCGTTTTGATACCTATCATTAACCATTTAACTGACTTCGGGCTTCACATGGGGAGGGTTCATCAATGCAACAGAAAGTCGAGGGATGGGGAACGGAAAAGCAATTCACAGATGTTAATGAAACAAACAAACAGACACAAAGATAGAGGTAAAGGTGAGATGAGTACTGTGAAAGTTGTGGAATATGATATACAGTGGGGCCATTGTAGTTCGAAGTCAGAAGTCAACTACCGGTTAATAAAATTTTTTCCCATATGAGTATACGTTGTCCAGGGTGCACCACATGGAGATAAGTCTATCGCACACCCTATTGGATTGAAATAAAACGTATACAAAACAAATTTATCAGCCCCGACGCAATCCACTTCTTTTTCTGTTTTGCAGTTAATATTTTTTATCTGCAAGAATTTTTTATAATACAATTTCCTTCCTTCTCCCTAATGAATCTAAAATTCAATTTTCTCTGTTTAATTCTTGTCACTGAGAGTATTTTATTGATCAATGATAGAGGCAATTGCCTTGTCGATTTAAATGTCCATTATCCAATCATTTGTTTAAGCGTTTACATGCAAAAAAATTGTGACAGCAAAATGAAACAACATCTTTAAACAAAGCCCTACCTTATTTGTTGGGAAATTTAGCATAGTACTAATCTATGCACCTACACGGCTACGCACTTAAACCGGTGAATTGGTATTTTAATGACAGGGAAAGTGGTTAATATTTTGTTTTAAAATAACTTTAATCCCATCAAAGAGTTTTAAAAAGAGGTAAATGAATGGATTGGTCGCACGTACAAATTGCGAACCAAATTAGCAAAAATAGTATAAACAAATTATTTGCCGATAAAGAAATCTTTATAGTTTGGATACAGCTTAACGCTCAAGGTGTTATAAAAATATGTTGATATTTAAAACAGCACGATGTTATATCCATTTGATTTGTTCAATCGTAAACGGAAATTGTATACATTGTGGAGAGCACAACGCTACCATGGTTAAATAGAGAAATCTTATTTTCTCTCAGATAGACTCGAAGGTGCGGTCATGCGCACGGAAGGACTTCTCAATCAACAACCAATCAATCATTGTTTAACAAATCCCTCATTGTATTTTAATGACTAAGCCATGTTACACACAACACATTCCAAATAAACGTGTAGAGCACTACGCAAGTCTGTTCCCATCTCCCCCCTGCCCCAGTAATGACGAGGGTATCTTGCCATAGAAATTACCGCGAACAAGTCCACTACAACATGCATGGATTTTAAACTGCTTGAGTATAAAAATATTCGTGTATTTAAGCAAAAAATGATGGCTTTATTGGAAATAAAAAAACCCTTGTTAAGCAACATTGTTAAAGGAAAAATTTGCTGTAACTAATTTTTCCCATTAATTCGAGACTATTTTACCAAGAATTAATCGCATTACTTACAGTTCTCTGGATTTTTTATTTTGGGGAATTCTAGTGAAAAATAACTTTTGTGAAAAAATGGGATTTTGTTAATAGTAATATATTAAATTATTTTTTCATTACCCAAAAGTACCCCCTTCCCCCCCACCCAGAAAGAGCATAATCTAGATCCTCTCCATATGTTTGTCCTGCATTAATACTTTATTTTCTTCGAAATCCAGCCCACCTAATGCCATGTCCATTGTTATTACCCTTTTTTGTACACATGAGAAGGAGGTTCGTGGTCAATCGACAGCAATCAATTGTTCCAATATTCTCAGGTCCCCATTAAGCATGACATGGGTAAATTAACATGATTAAAATGGGACGAAAGAACAATTTCATGTTCCTCCCCTCTCATGACTTTCTGTTTTTGGTAACTCACAAGTCTCCTGCTGGATGCAACATGGAGATCTCATCGTCTTCAATTGCTTCACTAAATCTCGCAATAAATTTCTCTCCATTTTTTCCCAATCATCTTTGGCAATGGCATATCCTCGTTGGTTAAGTACGATTCTTTCTCCTAAATTCAAGACCATTCCTCCTTAGCGCTTAGAGTTCTCATGTGGGGCTCAGATCATTTTAAATCGAGAAGTTACCTTTCCGCGTATAACCTCCTTTAAGGAGCGATTAAAAAGACTTCTTTTAATAACTTAGGGAGGGGTGGTAAATTCATTTCTTCGTTGCAAAATACATTACTCGGGCAAGTAACTGAAAATCATAGTGATTAATTCCACTTTATCTTCTCTCTTGAGGGTCTCATGGGCACAGCAACTATTTCCTGGTTAACACAACGCTTGTATGCGTTTACATCTAGAGACAGGGGTGTACAATAGACTTACTTCCACGTGGTGCACCCTGGGCAACGTATACTCATACGGCTAAAAAAGTTTATCAACTGGTAGTTCACTTCTCACTTCAAACTACCATCACCCCACTGTATGTCATATTCGACTACTTCTACAGTCCTCACCTTACCTTTTTCTACCTTTTCTACCTTCGTCTTTGAAACACTCTTCTGTTCCCCACCCCTCTCGACTATTTTCACTTTGGTATTCCTTCCCTCTTTGAAGCTTGAAGTGAACTAAAGGGCTAATGATAACCATCAAAACGCCTTCATTTGATGCAATAATAATCTCTTCTCTTGAAACAACGCTTCAACGAAAGTATCTTTTCGATTACTAACTCCAGCTGTGCTTTACTCTTATTCTTAATATTTATTATTGAGTGTCTTTTTACAACCATCATTATCAGTATTGTATTTTGATGAATTTCGTTCTCCTTACCACCCATGCTTAAAACTGTCTGTTTAGAAAATTTGTCTTGTAATTTTGTCACAAGTTGG